TTATTTACTTGCTGAAGACTGGAGCAAAAGTCCTATTCTGGAAGCTGTGGGAATGCAGGAAGAGGACTGGAACTGTCCTGTAGCAGGATGGATAGTAAGTTATGGGGGAAAGAGCAAGCCAGAGAAATCCACCCTCATTTATCTCATTGTATCAGACGTTGCAGTGCAGCTTTGGTCACTGGCCCCCATCCTCAGCTGCTCTGAGCTATGTGTGTTCCCATTAGAAGAATCTGGAGGTGTTTCAGTCTGTCAGGGTGATGGAGGATAATACCTTTCTCTCTGCAATACAACATGCTGGGAGTGTGCACAGGCACAGCAGAGTGAGGATGGGTGATAACTTGCCAAGCCATGGCAATACAAACATTTTTAGCTGTGTGATCCCTAATGACCAACCTGACCCACTGCCTGGAGCAGCTGCAGGCAGGAGCCCTGCAAACTTATCTCCCTGTGCATGGACAAGCCCTGCACAGTGCCAGCTACAGCCACCAGGTTTTACCCTGCAGAGAGGAGCAAAAAATGTTGGGGTACAAATGCAGATCCACACAAAACCCCCTAGCTGAGTTATTGCCCATCAGGATGAAGGCTGGCTCGTATCCTAGGTCACATCAGGGAGCTCTGTCACCTACTCCCTTTGCTTACTGACAGGTGGCTGTTTCTGACAACGGAGAGCCAGCCCTGAAGTCCACCAGCAGAGTCGTGATACAAGTCCTGGATGCCAACGACAGCCCTCCCAGTTTCCCCCAGAAGCTCTTCATGGTGCAGCTCCCTGAGAGAGAGGCCTCAGAGACACCACTGCCCGTCTACAGGCTGATTGCTTCGGACCGTGACCAGGGCCAGAACAGCCAGATCACCTACACCATCGAAGAGGAGGAGGAGGGGGTATTCACCATCAACCCCACAACAGGCACAGTCTTCTCCAGGAAGGCTTTTCCTGCCTCTGAATACAACATACTCACGGTGAGAGGGGAGGGAAACAGAGGGAGACGATGGGAAGAGGTGGGTGGAGAGGGGAAGAGGGAAAAGGGTACAGAAACAGAAAATAAAAAAGAGCAAAAGAGAGAGAGAAAACGCAGCAGTGGGAAGAGAGCTTGAATGAGGCAAATGGGTTACAGGGAGAGAAACTGGGAGGGAATGATGGGAAATGCAGAAGGTAGGAAGCTATTAAAAATGGTCAATAAATTTAAAATTAACTGTACAACTAGAGTCCAACTCTCAGAGATGAATCCATGATCCCATATAGATGTGGACCCAAACCTGAACAGTCTTTGGGTTTCATCATGTCTCTGACAGTCTGATCAGGCCATGGAGCTTAAAGATTAAAAGCTCTCCCACAGTCTGCAGGTCCTTGCAACAAGGCTTGTCATCCAGGTCTCTGCTGTGGATAGAGCTTGGCAGATTTACTTGATGGTCAAGAGGAATTTGGTTTGCATGGCTGTACCTTGGAAGCAGCCAAAGCACAGACCACTGGCTCAGGAATTGTTTTGTGGGATTTGGGCGCACTCGGACCCGAAACTCCTGGTGGGTGGGAGAAGAAGCTTCCCATGGGCTAAACCAGCCTTCTGCCTGACTGTGTGTGCATTTCCTGGCAGGTCAAGGCAACAGACGGCGGCAGCCCCCCGCTCTCCACCCATGTGCGGCTTCACATCAGCTGGGTCACCCGGCCCGGCCCTTCCTCTGAGCCACTGGCTTTTGATGAACCCCATTTTAACTTTGCCGTGATGGAAACAGATCCTGTAAACCATATGGTGGGAGTGATCAGCACTGAAATGGGCCCCAGCCAAGTGTGGTTTAATATCACAGGTGAGACGCAGGAATTCCAGTGGGGCAGCGGTGTCTGGGAGCGTTTGCCCCAACTCCCCTGGCTTTCAGCACTCGCATGCCTGAGCTAATGACGTTGTTTGCTTTAGGTGTAGGTGAGCTACAGGGAAGGCTTTCTCACAGGCACCAAAATGCTTAAACAGCCGTGGACAAAGGTGCCCGTCCAAGGGCTCCGGTGCCAAGTGCAATTATTTAACATGTGTTTTTAATGACATTCTGGAACTTGCCAGTGTTTGAGGTGTTCTCTGATGTCGCGTGAGAGGCAGGGCCTACCAGTCCCAGCTTCTCCTGGGAATCGAGTGGCACTGTTGGTTTTGCTGAAACTGCCTGCGAGGATCCAGTGTCTGGCTGGGTGTTGCAGACAACCCCCATCTCTCCCTCCATGCTGAGTCTTGAGCAGGGAGCAGAGAGGGAAGAATTCCTCGAAGACCTGGTGTGCCCTAACTGATGGATCTTTCCCTTCCACCTCACCACATCCCAGAGATGACTTAGACATGAAACGTGAAGCTCCAGGGCCTCCTCTAAGACACACAGTGGCAGAGGGGACGTGGGCTGTCACCCCAGGGGACTCACCAGGCAGTGTGTGAGCAGAACTGGTCCTACCAATGAGGGCCAATTGCACTCACGTAATTTGGTGTTTTGAAGTGGTGCCCCAATCTGCCTTTCCCTGGCACTGCCTGCAGGGCCTGCCCTCGTCAGACAAAGCCTTAATTGGGTTTGAAGTGAAATAGTTTTTCCTGTTGCTGTGTTAGGCCAGGGATAATGGTGTATAAATACAATTAAGCAACAAGAGATACAATGCTACAGGGAGCAGACAGTATCAGTGAAAGGTTTATCTGGCATTAGTAGTGTCTGGTTGGGTTTGCAGAATTAACGGTATATTCCTCTGAATGTTCTCCCATCGTTTGCTGGCTAAGTGCTGGAGCATAGCTTGACCTCATCTTTGTCAGTTCCTAGTGCACCAGGTGCTGCTCAAGGCTTTCTTGGTTTCTGTACTGTTGGGAAAGGACAGGATTTCATTTTCCCTTCTAGGAAAGGAAAAGCATCATAGTACCTGGCAACCAAGTGGCTGATGCAGAGATCCAGGAGCCCTCAGCACCTCATTCAAAATCTCACCTTTCCCAGTCCACAAAGACTCTGTCACTGGGATTGATGGTCTGCAAAACTCTGACAAAGCAGCATCTTTCTTCGTCTCTTTCCTTTCCTGGGCTGCTGCTTTCCATCTGGCACTGTGCACAGGGAGCTCTTCTCTCTTTTCTCAGGGAAAGGCATCTATGGGTTTCTCTTCCTCTGTCTCTGCTTCTTCCTGTCTCCTTCCCAGCAGGAAAGCAGTGGTCCAGATGGCTAGTGACCACTGCATTCTTCCAGCAAGGGAAGATACATAATTTAACAACCAGCGAAGACTTTACCAGCTGGTGAGAGAATAAACCAGAATCCAGAGCATCCACTAGCCAGGAAGGGAGAAGACCTGGGATAAATGTCAGAAAACTTTGAGCCTCTCTATATCTCAGAACTGAGTAGCAATGTTTCACATGCAATGAGGCCTAACAGGCCGCCAGCAAGTGAGGCATGAGAAAGGAGCTGCCATGCCAGGGCTGAACAGCAGTAGGGTGAGGGACAGCCTTCTGCTGCTGAGCTGCTCAGGCCTGCAGTTCCCAGCACTGCACAACCATCTGGGTTGGAGGCACCAGGCTCTGCTCACCCTGGAAGCACCGTCTGCCTCCCCAACTGTTCCAGTATTGGGCTTCTTGAGGGAGCTCACAGGCTCCCAGCCACAGCGATGAAGACCGTCACTGACATGCCCACAGTGTGACCATGAATTGGAAGCCAGTGAGAGCACTGCTCTGCCCAGCAGGTCCCTGATCCATGCTAAGCCAGTGATGCTGCATAGCTGGAGACCTTGTGCAAATAAATCAATGCTCAAATGTGCCTGTTGCCAATCTAGCCAGGACATCATATGCATAAGTGCATCCTTTCCTCTTCTCTCCTCCTCATTTTTTCTGATTCCGCTCACCTTAGATTTCTATTCCTTTGTCACCATCTGTGACAACCTCTTTGTCCAGCTTCTCCTTGTCCTCACTATCTCCTATGTCCATCTATCACATGTTGTATTGAGTTTCTAGTTTTGGGAGAAACCTCACCTGTAGCAGTGCCCTCAATCTAGCCATGGCCAAAGAGGTACAGCGAGAGGGAGTGCCTGCACAGCCCCCTTCAAGGCATATTGCCTGGTGTTCACTTATTTGTGGCTGGGCATGAGCTCCTTGTGGGATTTGTGTATGATGTCTGTAAGGAATATCCTTGTCCTTTAGGTCTCCAGGCAGCTCCTGGAATCTCTTCCCCTTCAGAGGCTGCCAGCACCTGCAACTTGCTCTGACTTTTAACTGCCCTTCTCTTTCCCTTTTTCATCTCTCCCTTATCCCAGGTGGTGATGATGACATGGATTTTGACATTGAGAAGAGTACAGGCAGCATGGTCATTGCAAGACCCCTTGATGCAAGGAAGAAGTCAAGCTATAACCTGACAGTAGAAGTCACTGATGGGTCCAATACGATCAAAACCCAGGTAATGTTTTTTTTCTTTGTTAAACACCCCACTGAGAGGGAGTACGTGCCAAAGGGAATCTTTTTTCTGAGTGTGATGAGCTCTGGATGAGGTGCCAGGCACAAGAACCTCCTTACACTCTGATTTACACTGTGACCCAAGTCTTTCCTAATACCAAGCTAAGATTGTTTTTATGTTCTTGGAAACACAGCTGGTCTAGGAAAGCCTGGATCTTTCTTGTCAACCACAGCCAGCACACGAGGACACATCTACACCACCAGCCAGGCTGGAGTGGCAGTTCACACACTCAGACCTCAACTTGCTCTCACCTGCTCAGTCTGAACTACAACACGTCTGGGATAATTTGTTAAGTCATAAGGGAAATGTGTACACAGTTAGATCAGGATTGGGTCCATGGTCCCATGTCAAGGGGTGTTCCTGGGACTTGTGAGCCAAAGTAAAGGCAGCACAGATGCATTTGCAAGAGGTGAGGTCAGGCCCAGGAGGTGAGTGGGGCAACTGCAGAGATGCTGCGTGCTTTGAGTTGCCACATGGGAAGGAAGTGCTGGTGAAAGGAGGCACTTTTCTCTCAGCAATGTCCCTGAGCCCCAGTTAAAATTATGAGATTTGCCCGTTTTTACCTGCCCTGAGGAGGGGTGTTCAGGGTTTGATCTTCCACCAACCGTTCTCTCCACACATGAGAAGCAGCCAGAATTCCAACCCTCACTGCACAGGAAGACCTAGAATGTGAGTCACCTGTCAGTGAGGCTTATCATGGGAAATTCACTTCAGGGGATGATGAGTGAGGATCACTGTCACTCCTGTGAAACGCAATGCTAATGGATGGCTACTTATCTCAACTATCTTCAGGTATTGCTACAAATAAACAAACAGAGCCCCAACCTGCCTGGTGTGCATTCCCTGCCACCTTGCATCTCATCCCTACGTTTATTTTGGCACTCAAGGCCGCTAGCAGATGTCAAGAAACCTGCTCGTGCAAAACCCTAGTGGCATGCTCAGGTTTGCTACAGGAAGCAAATTATTACACTTGGTTGGGACTTCCTAAGATGCAGGGAGCACATCAGTAGGGGGGTCAGGACCGCCAGGGTAGGAGGCTGAACAGAAGAATGTGTGACTTTGCAGGCAGGATTCAGGCAGCCATTCACAGGGGGTGTGCTGCTGACTGCAGAGGGGGAAAATCTGGCTAAAAAATGTAGAACACAAATTTTGCTTCTCCACATGCACGAGGAAGGCCAGCCCTCCCTCCTTTTACCAAACATCCCCCTTCTGTCATTGCTCTGGTGTGTAATTAATGGGGGTAGCTGTGGAGGCAGTGGCCAGCAAAGCTGGCACCATGGCTGAGCCACTGCTGCTCTTCATGGCAGGCTGTGACAGTCTCCCCATGTGCCAAGTGCAGGCACGTTCAGTCTGAGTGGCTTGCCAGATTGGAGTTATAAAAAGAAATGAGAGGAAGCAAACTGGAAAACATGAAGGGAAGGCACAGCGGGAGTTCCTTGGGGGAGAAGGACAAAAGGGCTCCCAGTCACCACGGATGGCAAAGCCCCAAGAGTTGGAAAGCTGTGACGGTTACAGGACTCAGGGAATGGCTGCACCCCAGAGGGTTTGGTAGCTTAGATTTCACGTGGCTGCACATCAGGCTGCTGCCATGTCTTTGCTGCTCTCACTGTGCTGTTTCCCCCACAGGCGTTTATCCACGTTATTGACATCAACCAGCACCGTCCCCAGTTCCTGGAGAGCCAGTATGATGTGAGGATTCCTGAAGATACCCCCTCAGGGAGAGAAATCCTTCGAGTCAGTGCAACAGACAAGGACAAAGGAAAGGGGCTCATCTACACCATCCATGGCAGCGTGGACCCCAAAAGCTCAAGACTTTTCCAGTTGGATCCAAGCAGTGGAGCCCTCACAACAGCAGAAGGCTTCAGTTCCCAGCCCATGCCTCAGCACACCCTCACAGTGATGGTGAGTCCTGACCAAGCCCTGCTGAGTCCACCAGCTTGGCCGGGAAATATGGGTCACTGGAGAAATTAAAACTGGTTTTAGTCTTTGAGGGAGGATTTGTCTAGAACAACAAGGAAAAGGAAAGCAGGCTGTTAACCTTTACTATATGGCTAAATCTAGGTAACACCCTGCTTTCCTCTAACCACCTGCTAATTTCATTGGAGGGCCACTGGATTCTTATAAAAGAAAACACAGTGAATAATTGTTAATGTGTGGTTTCAAGTTCAAGGCTGAGCTTTGGTGCTGAAACTTACAGGCTCATTCCCTCCCAAGGGGTTAGGACCACTGCAAACACCCACCTGTGTAGGAGTCCTGATGAGTTGCTTGGAAGCTGGTGCAGGCAGGGCTGCCTTCTCCCCGAGTGTGACTGTGCCTGCTCTTCCTCTGTCGTTCAGGTGCGAGACCAGGAGGTCCCCATCAAGCGGAACTTTGTCCGAGTCATCGTCCACGTGGACAGCTGCAACCTCCACCCTCCGCAGTTCAGCAGCATCCACTATGAAGCAGAAGTGCTGGACTCAGCCGTGGTGGGCACAGAGGTTATACAAGTCAGAGCCCTTGATCAGGACCAAGGAGCTAATGCTGAAATCCACTACTCCCTTCAGGCAGGTGAGAGCCCTGCAACAAGACAGTTTAGGCTTTGATCACACCTATATTTCCATGCTCTAACTGGTGGCCACTTGACCAGCTTTCTGTAGCTGTTGCAAAGACCAGTAAATGGTGGCACAGTTCTAAAATGTGATTTTCTTTCTGTTCAGAGAAAATCTGGAGTGAGCAGGTAGTTTCCGTATTATGGAATTTAGCATCCTTTCTTAAGAAGAAAGCTTAATGTTCAGTCACTGGCCTTAAAAAAAATGTGACTGGATGAGTTAGGACAACCTAAAATCTGCTCCTTTTGTCCATGGGAACTGAGGGAGCGATCCCTATTCAGTTGTTAGGCAAAAGTACTCCAATTCCCACAACAGTCATCATCAGTTCCACCATTTCTACCAAGAAATACATCTTCAGAGAACAGTGAGGGCCCTGTCAGCATTGGCTGCTGGTGGGTTTGGGTCATGCAAGTTCAGTGGGCAAGTATTTTATCATTCACTCTAAAGGTTAAAACTGAAGTATTTATGTCTGTGCCACACTGCCTATTTAGCTGGTAAATTCTTTGCAGGAGACAAGCCATCCTTTGCTCCATCTTTCTCACTGCAATTTAGATCAAGGACTGAGGGATTTAATTGCTCCTGAAGCATTGGTAATTACAAGCATGACAGGGCTTGAAGGAACTAGTACTATCTGTGCTACCATGTTCTGCACACGAGGCAAAAGCTTCAAGCACATGCTCAGCCACCACTAAATATGCTTAAATTAGAAGGGTATTTATCTCCAATTTACATTTTGATTGATTCAAAAGTTAGCTCATGGATCTCAATGGGTTCATTGTTCTTAAAATTATTTAGAAATTAATTAAGTTCTCCCAGTGAAAGAAACAGATGTTAACTAGGTCTGAAATCAGCAGAATCTATGGAAAAGAGGTTTAGAAAACCAAAACCAATACGGTGTCTGCATTCTTCACTTTGAAATTTCTCTTCTTGCAGGTAATGGGGAAGGCTTCTTTAGCATCGACCCATATTCTGGAATTATTACAGTTGCCCAGAAGCTGGATCCATCCAGACAGGATCGATTTACTCTTATTGTAAAAGCAGAAGATCGGGGGTTCCCTCAGCTTAAAGATTCTGCTACAGTACATGTCCACATTAGACCCTCTGATCGAACCCCTCCAAAATTTCCAGAGGCCGAGTACATCACAGAGATCAGTGAATCCACTGCTATTGGCTCTCCTCTAATCCAGGTTTCAGCCACAAGCTTGTCACCAGTCAGCTATGAAATAAAAGATGGAAATGGAGATGGAGTGTTCTCCATGAACTATCAGTCAGGCCTTATTTCCACTCAGAAGAGCTTAGATTTTGAGCAGGTGTCTTTTTACCAGTTGAAGGTCCGTGGCACCAACATGGCTGGAGCTTTTATGGACACAGTGGTACTTATCTATGTCATAGATGAGAATGACAATGCACCCATCTTCGTTAAGCCTTCCTTCGTTGGCTGGATCATGGAGAATGCTCCATCACAAAGCATGGTTCTGGATGAGAGCAACGCTCCCCTCGTGACCTATGCAACAGATGCTGATCAAGACTCCAATGCTCTGCTGGTCTATGAGATTTTGGAACCAGAGGCACTGAAATATTTCACCGTAGATCCCAGCACAGGGACGCTCACCACTCGTGCTGATATAGACTATGAGCTCACCCCAGTTTTCCACTTCAGTGTACACGTGCACGACAGTGGAAGTCCCAGCTTATTTGCATCCAAACCCACCAAGGTCACAATCCACGTTAAAGATGTGAATGATTCACCTCCAGTCTTTTTGAAAGACACTTATGATCTTTCTGTCTTGCTACCTGCCCACCCCGGGATGGAGCTTTTGTCAGTGCAAGCAAAAGATGCAGATTCAGAGGTGACCTACAGCATCGTGGAAGGGAACCTTGACAATGCTTTCTATATTCATCCTCTCACAGGTCTCATCTCCATTCTTAATGCTACTGGCCTGAGGAGTTATCATGAGCTCATGGTCAGGGCTGGTGATGGCTTATATAAGAGTACTGCTCTGGTTAAGCTAAACTTAACTCAAGCACAAGGTACTGGCTTGAAATTTGATCAAGATGTGTATACAGCAACTGTGATGGAGAACTCTACAGATGAGAAGACTCTAACCATCCTTGGGGTCAAGGGATATCAGCTAAATGAACCCCTTTCCTATTCGCTCTTGAATGGAAAGGAAAGATTCAAGATGATCCAGGCCTCTGGAGTACTTCAGACCAAGGGTGTGAAATTTGACCGCGAAATGCAAGGTATGCACGAGGTGGCTGTGGAAGTGAAGGACAACAGGAAACCACCAAGAGTGTCCCAAGCCACAGTCAAGGTGTATGTAGAGGATGTCAATGACAACCCACCACAGTTTGAGAATGTGCCATATTACACCTCGGTGCAGGACGGCACAGAGCCAGGTGATGTACTTTTCCAGGTGTCAGCAACAGACAAAGACATAGGGGATAATGGAGCTGTTACCTACTCATTTGCAGAGGACTACAAATACTTTCGGATTGACCCTTACCTAGGAGACATCTCCCTTAAGAAGCCTCTTGATTATCAAGCTTTAAATAAATACAACCTCCGAGTCATTGCTAAGGACAAAGGAGAGCCTCCCCTCCGTGCTGAAGAGGAGGTTGTGATCAGTGTGAGGAACAAATCCAACCCTCTGTTCCAAAGTTTGTACTACCGAGTGAAGGTGCCAGAAAACATCCCCCCATACACATCTATCCTCCACATACAGGCTCGCAGCCCTGAAGGCTTGCGCCTCATCTACAACATTGTGGAAGAAGACTCCCTGAAACTCTTCAACACTGACTTCAAAACTGGTGTCCTTACTGTCACAGGCCAGCTGGACTACGAGCTAGAGACAAAACACACGTTCACTGTTAGAGCCACAGACACAGCGCTGGGATCCTTCTCAGAAGCCAGAGTGGAGGTGGAGGTAGAGGACATTAATGACAATCCCCCGGTATTTTCTCAAATCATCTACACGGCGTCTGTCTCGGAGAGTTTGCCAGCACAGACTCCTGTTGTCCAACTCTTTGCTTCTGATAAGGATTCTGGCAGAAACAAAGTGGTTTCCTATCAGCTCGTGGATGATGGTTCAGATTCTACCAAGTTCTTTAATATTGATGCCAGCACAGGGCAAATAGCAACAGCTCAAGCACTTGACTATGAAACAAATCAGCAGTTCCGCCTGAAAGTAAGAGCTGCAGATCACGGGATGCCTCCACTTAGTAGTGATGCCCTGGTAATTGTAGATGTGACAGACATCAATGACAATCCCCCTGAGTTCAGCCAGCTTCAGTATGAAGCCAAGGTCAGTGAAATGGCTACGTGTGGGCACATCGTGATCAAAGTCCAGGCCCTGGACCCCGACAGTGGAGACACCACCCGACTGGAATACGTGATACTCTCGGGCAATGACAACAGGCATTTTGCCATCAACAGCACTTCTGGAATAATATCCATGTTCAACCGCTGCAAAAAGGACTTGGAGCCATCCTACAGTCTCAGAGTTTCTGCTTCAGATGGAGTTTTCAAGAGCACTGTGCCTGTGTACATCAACACCACAAATGCCAACAAATACAGCCCCTCTTTTCGGCAGAACGTGTACGAGGCAGAGCTGGCAGAAAATGCTGAGATAGGTACCAAAGTGATTGAGTTGGTGGCTATTGACCCAGATGGTGGCCCATATGGCACCATAGACTATACCATCATAAATAAACTTGCCCATGAGAAGTTCTCCATAGACAGTAAAGGCTGTATTTCCACACTGCAAAAGCTGGACAGGGAAAATTCCACAGAAAGAGTAATTGCCATTAAAGTCATGGCCAAGGATGGGGGTGGGAAGGTGGCCTTCTGCACTGTAAAAATAATCCTTACAGATGAGAATGACAACCCACCTCTGTTCAAAGCCTCTGAATACACACTGTCCATCCAGTCCAATGTAAGCAAAGGTTCCCCCGTCATCCAAGTACTGGCTTACGATGCTGATGAAGGTGCAAATGCAGATGTCATTTACTCTGTTGACTCTGTTGAAGATGTGGCAGAAGACCTTGTGGAGATCAATGCTGCCACTGGGGTTGTTAAGGTCAAGGAGAGCCTTATTGGTTTAGAAAACAGAGCCTTTAACTTCAAGGTGAAGGCTGAAGATGGCAGACCCCCTCACTGGAACTCCCTTGTCCCAGTGAATCTCCAGATTGTCCCCAGGGAAGTGACATTGCCAAGGTTTTCTGAGCCCCTTTATACATTCTCTGCATCTGAGGATCTTCCAGAGGGATCAGAAATAGGGTCAGTCAAAGCTTTTGCAGAGGATCCCATTATATACAGCCTGGTGAAGGGAACCACTACAGAAAGTAACAAGGATGAGGTGTTCACACTGGACGAACAAACAGGGGTTTTGAAAATCAAAAAACCCATGGATCATGAGACCACCAAGTGGTACCAGGTTGATGTCATGGCTCACTGCTCACATCAGGAGACTGAGCTGGTCTCTCTGGTCTCTGTGAACATCCAAGTGCAGGATGTCAATGACAACAGACCTGTCTTTGAGGCAGATCCCTACAAAGCTTTTGTCATGGAGAACATGCCTTCTGGAACCACAGTCATTCAAGTGACAGCTAACGACCAGGACATGGGGAGTGATGGGCAGGTGACCTACAGCCTGGAAGCAGAATCTGGCAACCTCCGTGGACTCTTCACCATTGATGGTGAGAGTGGGTGGATCACCACGCTGAAAGAGCTGGACTGCGAAGATCAGGAGATCTACCGCTTT